GTTCCTCCTACCTTCTCCCCCCAAGAAATTTAAATGGGAATTACCCCATCAATCCAACCAAGCAATGGAGAGAGGGGAGCCCAGAGCAGAGAGAGAATTTTGCCACATCCACACGGGTGCCACCGCCAAGTGAGCCAGCTGGGTACAAGCCCTGGGTGTCCTGTTTCCCAATTCTCAGGTAAGAATTAAATCTTGAGTGAGGCAGGCTGTGTTAACAAGTAGCAGACAGAAATAAAGATAAAGAACAGCAATAGTCATCCTTTTACATCTCTACTGTGACTTTAACTTTTTCCATGCCTTTCTCCACAAATTGTGATAATCCTAATAAATCTATTTTCGTTACTAAAACATATTGAAGTTTGCAGGGGCCTGTCCAACCCCACTAGGTAAGTAAAACTGTGATGGTAGATTAATGAGATGAGGAGGAAGGAATTCTCCCATATCTCACAGGTGAGGAAACTGAATCTTGGAAGGAAGAGGTGTTTTGCCTAAGATGACATGAGTAGCAAGTTCAGTTCTTTCAGTGCACAGGAGAGCCTCCGCTACTGGAGCAATCCTGATTCAAGGAGAACCCTCGGTTCAGCATTCCCCCGTCTCCAATTAACTCAGCTCAGCTCAGCAGGCACTCTTAGTCAGAGTAAGCCTGGAAGTAGGCTGCTTGTGCAAAGCCACAGTTTTGTCTTACTGCCCTGAGATTACAAGGAAGCTAGTGGCCATCTAATCTCAGATTCAAGATCCAAAATCCCCTTGTGCCTGTTGAGGTGAGGGCAGGAGGTGGACATTGGAGAAGTCCTAAGAAACAGGAGCCAGAAAGCTCCTCAGCTGGGTCTGGCATACCCTTTCCCAAAAGTCTAAAAAGTTTGAGCGGGATATTCATTTAGCTACCTCAAATTCCATGTTTCTCCTGGGAGATTGAGAATGGACTTCCATTCTGAATGGAGAATCTCTGAGAGCAAGGGAGGACTTCTGAGATCTTTCCTAAACCCAGGCTCAGCACTCGGGCAGAAAGGAGTGGGTCAGGGCTGGAGGGAGCCCTGGGGCTCTGTTCCAAGCTTCACACTCATGTTCATTAGCCCAGGGCCCCTCCTCTCTCTTCTTGCTCCATCCCCTCCTCCCTCAATGGCCAGATAAGAGGATGGCTCTGGGGCTGGTCAGAGTTTGAGGGCAGAGGGCAGGGAGGAGCTGGCAGAGAAAAAAATCAGAGCTACATTAGGGTGGGGTCAGGATACGAGGGGACCTAGAGAGGTCAGAGGAAAGCTGGGGTGGGAGGCAGCCCCCCCCCCCCCCCCCCCCGCTCCCCAGAAACCTTGGGATTGGCCCCCTTCCCCTTGGGTTGTCTTACCCCCAGAAACGGCCCGATTGGGGTGGGGGAAGAGGGTTTGGGGGACCTGAAGCAGAGGGGACACCAGCGGGGGGTTGGGGCCTTGGCGGGGGAGGCGGGGGCCGGGGGCCCAGGTTCGGTGGCTTCTTTGGGGGGAGAGGGGGGGGGTTTCCTTTAGGTTAAGGGAGACCCCCCCGGCGCCCCCTTTTCCCTTTGGGTTGAAGGGGGGGCCCAGGGGCTCCCCGGGGGTCCCCGGGAAGGCGAAAAAAAAACCAAGGGGAAGGGGGAAGGGTGCCCCCCCCCGGGGGGGGGGGGGGGTTAAAAAAGGCAACGGGG